GTTCCAATTTGCCTGTTCAAATAATAATTGGTAAAAGTCAAAGCACCATAAGGTAGGCTTCTCAATCAGGACAAAAACCAAAGAAGAAAGAATCCGTGAGAGCAATGTAGCGACATGCTAAATTTTCTTGGCATTGATTAAGTCATAGCAGAGACTTAAAAACTGCATAGTGAAAGACCCAGGTATGTCAGTCAGTGCCTTGTGCCTTGGAGGGACAGAACAGATGCTACTAAGAGAGAAGCAATAACTTCCCCTCTAAATAAATAAATAAAATGCCGGCATCCTATTTATATATTTAGCTTCCACTTCTTTGGAAACAATGTTCCTATAATCAGTATCAGGTATGCTTTGCTTTTTTTTTTTTTTTCTTTTTTTAAATAGACACGGCTTAAAATTGGATGAAGCTATCAAGCAGATGGGAAGATTTATAAGGATCATGTACATATGAACATTTACTAAGCAAATGAAATGACACCCAACAGTGCTACTAACACACTGAAATATCTGAAGTTGTATCATTGAGTAGTCTGTGCATGTGTATGTATACATTTTTATAAAAGGAAAAGGAGAGGCTTCCATTAAGATTAGTTGCTAATAAGACGGTAGTTGAAACAGTTGCATCTCTAGAGTAATGGGCAAAATCCTGAAACAAACAATAACTTGCAGTTTTCCTCAAAAAACCCCTCTCTCATCACATTCCTTTCAAGCCTATCAAAGTATCTAACAATTCTTGGATGTTTAATAGTTGGGAGTAGTCACTATGTAGATAGAAAAGCACAACTTATAAGTAATATTTATACAATGTGTTAATGTTTTAACCAAGTCAAAGGAGCAGATTCTCAGCTAGAGTAAACTGGATATCTGAAGACACTGCAACATACTAGCTGAGAATCTGTTTAAAGTAACTTTGACCTCATTTTCTGAATGTTAATGCCACTGGCCTAGGAAAATTATGTGGTCATGATAGCTTTTATGTAACATTTAATTTACAAAACTGCAAAACAGGTCAAATTGTTGGATACAGATAATCACAAAAGCATGTGAAAATATTTCTTAAAAAGTTAGATACTACTTTAAAAGATATTCCATCCTGTAGCATGTCAGTATACATTAATCTCATTCATGGGAAAGATGCCAGGCTGCAAAAGAGAATACCAGTATCTTTATTACCCAGGACTCTCACTGGAGAGAGATTCTAAGGTAGGAGTTTTCATGGACTCTGAAATCTAATTTTCACTGAAAATATATAACAGGAGACAGTCGTTAAGTCAAATTATGTAGTTTCACAAACTTTCATTCACTGTGTGGTAAGTCATATTTAAGTCTGTAGCATAGCCCAAGTAAATAGAAACACCTTCAGGTTCGGCACTTCTGCCCTGAGCCTTGCAGCTGCTTAGGACAAGCTATAGGGTTCACAGACAAACGGTGTCAATAGAGATTCATACGTTTCTTTCCTGGAAATGGAATCTAAGATCCAGAAGTCAAGATCATGTTTAAGGAGAAGAAAGAAGCAGCTGGTTACAACCTGTAGGACTGAGCTCCAGAAGAGATTAACAGTGCACTCTCATAATGCCATTAAAGAAAGAAGCATTTCCACAAACAGCATTACCACTGAAGATGAACAAACTTTCTTCCAAAAGTATGACTTTAAGTTGTTTGTTTGCACAGTATGGTGTGTTTTGAGCTTACGTACAACAATCAACTTTGTGAGCACGCACATGTACATAGCTGACACACAGACCTGCAGAATGGCCCTAAAAGAAGCAAGTTAGTACAAGTTCAGCATTCATCAGACCAGGCCTAACATGTACTAGTTTTCTGTTGTTTAAACTTCAGATGCGGTATTAATACAACACCAGAGTTCCCTTTAGGTTATGAAAAAGCATATGCTCTGTCATATAGACTACCATATTCTGCACTAGGAAGCACATATTGTAGTGGCATGCTGTTTTTAAAATCTTATAAAGAAACTGGAACAGTACTCACTAAGATCATATTGTATATTTTGCCATACAGTGGGCTTACCTTCTTCAAGACCATTTTACTTGTGTTAAAACATTGCCTTTTATTATTTTACGTTTTGTGTTAAAACATTGCCTTTTATTATTTTACTGCCTTTAATCGCACATAACACAGAGCTACACCCAAACTCTTCTTTCCTGCTTCTATCGCATAGTCATCATTGATTTTACTCCATTCCTTTCATGAAGGGGTTAGTGCCTCGAAGGGATCTGATGTAATAACAGCTGCTGAAATCCCATAGCAAGAGTCAGAGGTGACCAGTCCAGCAGTGCCACGCATTAGGAAAAGCTGACAAGTAGCAGTGGGAATGTAAAGCAAACTGACCATGTAGCCAGTACACAGAATGGACCAGCACATGAACAGCAAGGACTTTTCTTGGAGTTGTGACGAACTTGTATGGCCAGCAACTGGGTTACATTTTTAATAGGGTATTTTAATTTTTTTTAATGAGAAAGCTAGAGCTACTATAAAAAACAGAGTGTAATCAGGTACAACACAGAATGCAACAACACAGTGGTACCACTCAGATCAAAGTAACGTAAGCTCCATAATCTCACTCCATCAGTGGCCAACAGCGACTGCATAATGTAAAGCGTAAAATGGAACATATTCCAGTGCTTCTCTACTAATCTCTCTCAACTTCCATGGATTTGCCATCATGGGACTCAAACCCAAAGGCAGCATTCAATAGCTTTTTCTTCTACTAATTTGCTTGCTGTTTTTTTAAGTCACATTACATGTAATATCTACAGGGCTCTGTGGTACCAAATTCCACAGCTTAACAATCCTGCAAGTTAACTACTATGTCCTTTCACTCTGAGCCTGCCACCTGCTCCTTTCATCCCCTCTACCCCTTTTTAATAGGTAAAGACAGTGAACAACTCTTCTCTATTCTCCCTCCCTATGGCTCTAAATTTTATCAAATTCTATTGTATTTTTTCTTTTCCTCAAGCAGCATCTTCCAGCAGAGGAGACCTAGGCTAAATAGTTCTTCCTGACACGGAGAGAAGTACTTTGAAGGCCTGGTCTCCTCATTTTGAAAGGATATCACAGGGAGGAGTACGATAACTATGAACACACAGAACTGAAGACTCAAAACCAGAAAGTTATAGAATGGCATGGATTTTTTTATTCTCTATTTCTGTTCTAATTCTTCACACTTGATTTGCTTTACTGAATGCCAGTAAGCATTGAGCTGACATTTTCCAAGAATCGTAACAGCTCTAAGATCATCCTTCTGTAGTATTAACTAGCACAGAGCCCATCACTGGAAATGTAAATTAGGAATGTTCTCTCTCCAAGTAAATGCTGTGCATTTAATCAGCACTGAATTTCACATGCCATTTCAGTTGCCCACTAATGAAGTCCTTCTCCAACACTGAACAATTAACAGTTTAAACACAGAGGAGTCAAGACTCGAAATACACATACAGTAAGTTTTTGAGCTTACTCCCTAGGTAAACACAATTCTGCTTCAGACAAGTATTTTCACCTAGCTTTCAAAGAGGCTGTTTCAATGTCAGCCTCCAGATGGAAACAGTGATGCACTCATTAAAATAGTGTAGCAGTGAGTTCTTAGTCACTCAAATCTTAATAATTATTTTATCAAAGCAAATAATGTTTTGGCAAAGGATAAAAATCACATTAATCCCCAGTAACAAAACCACATTCATTGTTACAGCAGGTAATTTATGAAGACCATGGGAGCAAAATCTGTGAGAAATTTCAACTAACCTTGAGATCACAAGTGGTGTTAAGCAGCAAATTCGAAGGTTTGAGGTCACGATGAAGCACGTTGGCTGAATGGATATATTTTAACCCTCTCAAAATCTGGTAAAGGAAATAACAAATGTGGTCGTTGCTGAGGTGTTGAGTCTTTAAAAGCTTGTAAAGATCTGTCTCCATAAGATCTTGCACAATGTATCTGTCATGGATTGGATGTAAGGCAGCAAAACAAACGTGGTGTCATGTTAGATATCAACATACAGGACCAGATTAAATCTCTGTAACACTTTTTCTCTCTTATTTGTCTGTTTCATGACAATTGTGAAACTATGTAGTTGCATCTTGCTTTGCAAGTTTTGAATCAAATCAGTCCTGTTGATGATGCAGCAGTTTACAGAATTAAGAGGCATCAGCACATGGTCCTCAAATTAATCATCATAAACCTCTATTTATTTATATTAGATCCTGATTTTTATTGGAATCTTAATATAATCAGATTCCTATCCTGCTTGCCAAGAAAAAAGACTGTTTTTTAGTTTAATGAGTAATAAGCTTCAGATGCTTACAGTTGCATAAACCTGTGAAGGTAGAAGATCTGATAATTTCTGATCAGTCTTCTGAAGTCATCTCTCCACTTCAAAAATTTGGCTGTTGTTCTCCTTTACTATATATTTATTATGCTACACTGAACACAGCAGTCCTTTGCTTACCAAATTAAATCTAATATTTTCAGTCAGATTATTTTTTTCTAAGATTGGAGTGAACATACAGAAAAGTTGTTGGGGTTTTTTTCCTGCTTTGGTAGGAATGAGTTAAGTAAAATTTTCTTCTCCCTTAATTTGATTTGGCTGCAAACCCCTTGGGGTGTAGTTCCATGATCACTTTTCACTGAAATAGGATTTTGTGAAAACACGCTACTACTGCCTTTCCAGTTGGGCGTTCCCATCCTCTCCTCTGGGTATGCAGATTGAATCACACAACTAGGACATCTTTTTACAGACAGCATGCACTTACATTAGTCAAAATGGCCACAGAAATGCAACCTCAGAATCCCACAAAGACCGACTGAACTCAAATAGTATATTGATAATTTATGAAGTGAAAACATTTGACCTAGATTCAATTCAATTTCTGCCTGCATGCACTTACGCCTTTTATAGGGCAGACATCTGCAAAGACCCACAAAACCAAGAGAAACCAATGCATGTGGACTTCGGGAAATAAAGTTGGTTGACTCTAAATTAGGCCTTGTATCTCAGGTAGAATCTCCCAGCTAAGACTACCTCATACATTAGATAGCCACATGAAGTCATATCTACACAAAGACAAGTTTCCCATGAAAGAACAATGAGTATAACAAAAAGGCCAGATTTGCATATATTAATCAAGCATGTTTACCCGCCCTCATGGAGTTTCAGACTTTTCACAAATGCAGGAAGCACTGCAAAACTAAGGGTTGTGTTTTGCTTTATTTTAATATTCCCCCCCGATGCATCCAATCTATTCTTTAAAGAAAATTTTAGACAATTATAGCAGAGTCTGGCCATTTTATTTTCTCTTCAAAGCAATCAGTTCTAACAACTGCTCTATTAAAAGCAAATATAGCTTTAGGATCAACTAAACTAAATCATCTCTACAACATTGATTTCTTTGCCTTGGAAGACAGAAATTAACATTTTTTTTCTTTTCCTGAGAGAGAACAAACAAAACTAGTATTCACCTACATATCAAATCTATGTAATCTACAAACCAATCAAACATTATGAACTTCCCTTTCAATTTACAATAACAGAAGCCAACTTTTATTAAAATTTAGTAAGAAAGAGGTTGAAAAGGAAGAAATAGTCAAAACAGAGAAGGCAACCATCACTAACTATGCAAAATAACTTAAAACTTTGAAAGGATACACATCTTTCATTTGTTCAATAGTTGGAGCTCTGATAATATCATTTATTCCAATAATATTCTCATGCCTGAAGCGCAGTAGGATCTTAATCTCTCTCAGAGTTCTCTGGCAGTACGTCTGATGCTCAAAAGGACTGATTTTCTTTATAGCAACTCGAACTTTGTTGACGTTATCATAGGCAGAACTAGAAGAGAATCAATAACATTAGTTATAAGGAATATTAAATTCATTCAATTCAGAAAGCAAGAATGCAAATTCAACTGAATAGAGGGGCGGTGCATTTGTTTTACATTTATTTTTACCAAATTAAGAGTGCAACAGTAGCAAGTATCTTTTAGTTTGATGAACAGACAAAATACTGTTGTTCTATCACTAGCCTATTTGGGTATCTACAAGTCATTAGTCTTCCAAACTGACTTAGAGTCTGCTGATTCTTGGGTACCTGAACAGATGTACTCATCTTCTTTATCAGCCTGTGAAACAAAACAAGTTCGAGTCTTTTTCTATATGCTGTAATCAAGAAGAAGTTTGAGAGAAAAAGTTTATCTTGAGTTAACCCATTCACTTTGGGGCGCAGAAAAGCCTTCAGAAATCATCTTTCAAGCAGCAGGATTCCACATCCTATGTCTAACTCCTGCAAGTAATTCCAATTGTCACAACCTTTTACTCCTCAGTCGAGCTACGCTGTTGGCACCTCCATGAAGAACAGACATGGAAGAATAAAAGGAATGGAGAATTTATGAAAACACCTTTCCAAGTTCAATAACAGAGTTCAAGAAGAGAAAAACTATCTGACTACACACATGAAGCAAAAGCAACCAGCGGTACAACAAAGTAATACGGTGATTGTGACCCATACTAATGAACACACTGGCTGCTACATTTACGGTACTGTCATTTCAGAAGCCTAGAAAGCGTTCCTAGCTATACCAATAAAGCAGTCTCAGTATCTCTGTTCAAAATGCGTACACATTTATGAAGAATATCACAGCCTAAGCCTAAGCTCAATAAAACATACACAATTTTCTAAAATTTGGACTCTGGTTATTATTTAGTAAAAATGTTATGAACCTTTACAAATTTTAGGATATTTTGTATGGTATTACTTATATGAATGACATAGCATCTCATTATAATAATTTCCCTTTGTATTAAAAGTACATGGTAATTTAATAAATTATAATTCAAATGTGCATATATGATTCTTGTTCCTTTCAAATTTCTTTTTGCTCACTATTGCATTGTTTGGAAATTAAAAAATAATCAAGCCTACATTGAAACATTTCTGTTAGCCTCAACTATTGCATATAAAAATATAAACATACTAGCCAAACAGGCTTCACATTCCATCATTTTCTATAATTGAGTCCCAGAACATTCTTTGAAACTCTCTTAATTTGCCTTACTCTGCTGAGATGTCCAGGTATCTGGTGACCAGGAAAAGCAGAATGAAATATGAAAAACCAATTAGAGAAGGAGACCTAAAAGGAATTCAAATGCCTGACCACGTCAAGGTTCTTCTACCACTAAGCAAATTTATGGTGCGACAAGGTGTTTTTGAGATAGTACTGTTACCACTGTACGCAAAAGCGTTTAACATTTCTCACTTCCATTATTATAAACTACACAGAATTTCTGCCACCAGTAAGATCTTCATACAGCTCATGCATATGTAGTGATATCCTTTTTGCATGATTTTTCCACAGAATCACTTCGACCTGTCTGCATCCGTAACTCCGGTCTTTAACCACAAACAGACTGCACAATTTATTTGCCTCTAGAAACACTGAACTCAAATGCTCCACAGGGTGCTTTGAAATTCCACATGCTAAGCAAGTATTCGTTACAACTCTTGCTATTACATATGTATAGATAACACATTAGCAGTTCGTAAGTCCCAAAATAGATAATAACAAAGTGCCATAAGTGGAACTTGGCACAGCCTTCAAGAGCACTTCGTCTACAGTAATTTTCTTAGTTAATCAGCTAATCACCTGTGCTGTTTACAATATACCAGTAAGGTAAGTCACAAGCAGAAAACAAAACTAGAAATAATTCTGAAGCACAAACAACCTGCATTTGGGAAAGTGGCAAAAGAATCCTATGGACCATTTTATCGTTACAAACCAACCTCCTACCTCCTTCTTTGTATTGACTTAAGCCTATTTTTTTCTCCCACAATGCAGAATCTTACTTCCTTTCAAAGTACTGGACAGCAGCAGCTATGCAAAGAAAGTCAAAATGCCAATATTTACCAATCAATGCTGCTTAAATAAAAGCTCCTAATCTCTCACAATATTTGATAAAATCTCTAAGCTACTGCTTCTCAAGCAAAGGTGGGTTATTGATGAAAAATATGCATCTTCTCTTGTACAGATTCAATGAATTTAAATCCATTAAATATACCAAGATTTCCTCTCTTGTACCTGCTTCACTTATAGTTCTTGAAGCATTTCTTAGCAGAAGGTTAATGCTGTTATTTAAAAAGGCCGGGTAATTTTACTTTCAGATGGTTCAACTATAAAACACATGATTCAGTATGGAAAAAAGCTGACTATTTGCAGTAAAGATGCAATCAATTTCCTCGCCAGTGTACATTCTGCATACAGTTGTTCTTCTATTTGTATCAGAAGATCTCACCACACTACTGTAGCTGACCATGCACTGCTGTTACCACTACAAAGCCTCAGCTAAGGAGAGCAAAACCGAAATACTACCTAGTTGAAACATTAAAAGGGACGTGGGATTTATTTCTGTTGCCACATTTTCTGAAATATGAGCATGAGTATGAAAGATCTATCTCAATTCCTATGAGCAAGAAGCATACAAGTAGTTATGTACACTTGCTTACGTGTTATATTTTAAATATCATGCATAATACAGGTACACAGAGAATCTGTATTATAAAGTTAACACCATTCCACATTCTCAGAGTCACAGCCCTGAAAGCAAATATAGCATTCATTCAGTAAATTCTGTGACTCTTTCAAAAACAGTGCTTTTTCAATTTGACATGTGCTACAGAAAACTGTAAAAGCTTCATATTAATAAACTATGTAACTATATGAAGTTATAGCTATAACTTTATAACATATAACTTCAGTAGAACTGAAGTCATGTGTTTTCTCATGCACATATGCTAGTCAGACACCTATTGGTGTAGATACAGCAGTATCTCTTTCACTACCTAGGAAACACCGTAAGCTAACAAAATCGCGTCCTTTATAGGTCAGACTGAACCGTTTCGCAAAGCTTTCCCTGTTCCTCACAATCTCCAACCAACCGCTACCTGCCATCAACACCAGATTTACCCGCTACTCTCCAGAACTCTGCTGAAGAAATAATACCGCTTATATGTCCATTTACATGTGTCCATTTATATGTCCATTTGTAGTGTTCACAAATGAAACAACTATAAAAAGTGCAAATCCAAACCCTCGATGCATTAACTCACCGCAGTTAATATAACAGCTTATCACTTAACGCAGGATTCATCTTGCTTAGCCTCAGCTAGAATTAGAGATCTAATTTTACGACTAATAATCACCTGTGCTCCTCCTAGAGTCCAAAAAGGAGTAACTCCACACACACATCCCATCCACCGGCCAGCACATCCTGAATTTAGATTATTTGCATTCTGGAAGTGCTGTCCCAGTGTGCACAGCCTAACCTAGTGGTCTAGACTGTCAGCTTCTACTAAATCTCACAACAACTGTTTATATTTTCACTGAAACAGTTAACTTAGTCCCCTTAATAGAAGGGGCTCCTTCTAAAGGCAAGAACCTTCTATTACTTAGACTTTTTTCCAGAGAAGATAAAAATCTGTAAAGTGAGAATAACAGTTCGCATACTAACAACTTTTAGAGTGCTAATTTATAGCTTTTAGTTTCTAATCACTAACCACATGAACCAATCACTGCACATAGAACTTTCCCTTTAACAGTCTGTGTGTTATTCACATTATGATTAAGCTACTTACTGACACTTTAAATATTCAGAAGGAAGGATTTATTTCCACCCCAATGATGTGCAGCTTCACAAGCTGATGCAACCATTCAGCTGTGAGTGCTATTTATCTGTAACGTGATAAATTTAAATACAGATTTTGCAACTGCCCAACTCTAGTATACACAACATTATTCCTATTTCAAGCTGTGGTTACTATCCTGTGACAACCTGCAATAGCACCACTATTTGATACTTTTAAGACACCATGTGAAAATCAATATAAGCCCTAGCAGTACAGTTCATCTTTCCTCATATTAAGTATCTTGTAAATATATAACTAAGTTTTAACTAAGTAAAACATCTTGCACAGCTGTACGAAACAAACAAATGAGCTTTTATAACCCAAGAAGCTGCACCACACAGCTTTTCAAGCCAGTGTTTTGTATCTTTCTCCTGCTCTGGTACCAACTTCCTTTTTAAAAAAGCCCAGGGTAGGGCTGCTTCCACATGCAAGGACCAGAAGGCACACCGCAGTACCTGAGCAGCCTACAGAAAACAGCATACTAATTGCTCATATGAACCTCTGACATGTAGCCCCTCTCCCATTAATTCCTTCTCAAGGAAGTAAAGCTTTTCACCAGACAGATCGGGCCAAGTGCCAATGCTTAGCTCCTTCTACCCACAATGGCTGCTGCACGTTCTTCCATCCATTTCTATTCTTCACATGTTTCGTTTTGGAGCAGAACTGGAACAAGTGAGAGCATGCTGCAGCTGCCGGGAGGAAAGGAGCCAGCTCCTGGCAATAGTTACAGCCCATAGAGGGCTGTTTCTTCACAGAACCATTGAAAAACAACGGCCTACACCGTCGGCACCGCCATCCTTGGTGCACTCCGCTGCCACGCTGCCTGAAGGCTCACCCCAGCATGGAATATTCTTCCAACACTTCTAGGATTATTCACCTTATGGCTGTTTTACAGGCTGCTCTCAGCATATGCGAACATACACATAAAAATACACAGTGCTACCGGCAAACTTCCCAATTACAACTCTAAATAAAAGACTGATTTGAAGTTTACAAGGGATGTTTTATCAGTAGCTTTGTGTTGCTGTGGAAACAAGATTCCAAGGGCATATCCAGGGATAAGAATCTTTCCTAAATACTGAGTAATTCTGCTTGCAACCAGGAGAGGAAAGAAAAAAATAACTCCCAACAAACTGATCTATGCAGATCTTTAATCTTT